AAACTGGCGCCCAGATTCAGCCGCTGCTGAAACTGACCAGCGGCTGACTACAGGAAGCCCGAAGCAGAGTTGCTCTGCCCTGGGCTTCCTGGAATCAGCTGCTGATCAGTTTCAGCAGCAGCTGACTTGGGGATGCCTGGGGTTCTTAAGTTGAATCTGTATGTAAGTGGAACTGGTGTCCAGATTCAGCCGCTGTTGAAAATGATCAGTTTCAGCAGCGGCTGAATCTGGATGCCAGTTCCGACTTACATACAGTTTCAACTTAAGAACAAACCTACAGTCCCTATCTTGTACGTAACCCGGGGACTGCCTGTACTGTGAAAGGAGGCTGAGGCCCAAAGGGACTAGTGATAAAACAGTGTTGGTTACTCTCTTACTAGCTTCATAACACAAAAATATGTTATTGGAAGCTTTAGGGGATAGCCGAGTTAGTCTGTACAAGATAAACTTAAAAAACAAATGGTCCGGTAGCCCTTTACAGACTAACAAAACATGCAGATGACCGGTCATCTGAAGAAGTGGGCTGTGCCCACGAAAGCTCATGATACCATCTACATGTTTTGTTAGTCTATAAAGCGCTACCAGACTATTTGTTGTTTTTTAAATATGTTACTGAACAATTAGTTTACCAGATTTTTAGAGGTTCTACTTGTTTATTGTTTGAGGGAGCTCTCAGTAAGGAGTTTTAGGATGAAAATTTAAGGGTTTTTTTTTTTACGTGGGCTAGGTTCAAAGCTAATAGAAACGTTTTCATTATTTTAAATGCAAGGAAAGCAGTTTTTTGCTTAAATTTCAACAACTTCTTGCTGCATTCATAACTCAAACTTTATTGCACTGAGAATCCAGAAGCAGAAGTTGACCATGTCTGCCAACTTTTGAATGCTATAAATAACATTTAGAACGAAAAACAGAACCATACCCTTAAATTCCCATATAATTCATTAGACCTGGTACGATAATATTTTTTATTTTTTTTTGTGGAGAAACAGAACAATGCGTGACAGATATCTTGGGACTGTCCCCATTAAATATTATTAGTTGACCTATAGGAACTGATTTGAAATTGACCAGAAAGAAAACCATTAAATTGACTAGTCTGTTTCCATGATGTAGGCAAAGTAACATGCAAAAAGTAAAACCACATAAATGCTAGAAAAGTAAGTTAGGGTTTCTTTTTAGTTCTCTCTCTTTACTAATGGATGGTATTGCTATTACTAATACAGGTCATGAAAGTTGTCTTTAATTACATGACTCAACCTCACAGAGTACATCTACACAGCAGTGTTATTTCCGAATAACTGACGTTATTTCAAAATAACATAGTTCATGTCTACACAGCAAGCCATTACTTCAAAATACTGTCAAGCTGGAGGACTTCTTACTCCAACTCCTGTAACCCTCATTTTGCAAGGAGTAAGGGAGGTCAAAGGAAGAGTGCTCTTCCTTCGACTTCTTGCTGTGTAGACAGCGACAAAAGCCAAATTAAGCTATTTTGACTTCAGCAATGCAATTGACATAGCTGAAGTTGTGTCTTAATTCGACTTTTGCCCTGCTGTGTCGACATGCCCATAGTGTCCCTGCAACTTGTATGTTAACCCCTGCTTTACACAAATCTAAAAAGATTAAAAAATATGGTTGTACGTCAGAGATGGAGGTTATGATATAGTAGGTGTGATATTATTCATGCTATCCTACGACTTAAAAAGGACCATAGAGAACAAAATGCAATTTTATTTAAATATGAGGATTTTAACTGCTTTGGGCCCCAAACCTGCAAATACTTGCAAACATGCCAACAGCAGTAAATGTACATGGATGAGTAGTCCTATTGAACTCGTAAGATTACTTACCTGTGTGAAGTTATTCACATGCATAAGTGACTGCAGGATTGGAGACTTAGGTTTTCAGGTTACTCTCTCATATATCCCTCTGGGACAAGCGTGTCATGCATGTGTGTTAGATAGACTATGGGTTTTACCCCTGTTAATCGCATTCAGGTAAAAGAGCATATACTGCAAAGTGTTGACTCCCCCATTGCTGTTCACGTTAGTGAGAAAGGAGATGCTGCTCAGTGATCACATGATCAGGCTCAGAGACTAAATAATACACATACAATTTAAATCAGAGACATTTTCTAAATCCAGGCCTTGCTCTGTAAGGTGCCAGCTCTCCTCATATCTGCAATGACTCAGAAGGAGCTAAGAGCACACAACTCCTTACAGAAGAGATGGCTCCTTATAGAGAAGACTTTACTCTACATTTAAGCATCTAGAAAAATCACAGGAACTACAGCATAATCAGAAAAACCTGAGTAAGGTGCCCAGGTTCCCCATACAATGAACAGGGAGAGACAGGCCCTTTGGAATGCAATCCACAAAAGTCAGCATGTAAGGCAGGGAGCAGCCTAAAACCCTCCTCTCTTGTGGAAACAGATGCCTAATTTCAGACTGTAGTGAGGCAACTCTCCCAGCTTGTGATTTCCAACCAGGAACCCCTCTTTGGAGTCAGGTGGTTTAGGGGCCTACACTGCTGCTTGCCGGAGTGAGTGAGGCACCTCTCTCACATGAGACAAGATGACTGGTGGAGGCAGTGGTCTTGGTAACAGCATTGCTGCTTTTAGCTTCATGGTGAGAATACTCACCTGGGACAGGGGAAACACAGCTTCAATTCCACCCTCTGCCTTGGGGAGAGAAATGATTTGAACACGGGACTCCCACATGACTGCGCAGTTTCTAACCATCAAGCTATGGGGGACACTGATGTAGGGCTCCCTCAATCTCTCCGGTTGAGACTCTTTCACTGTGGATAAATGATTACTTAGTCATTGGAGGAGGGGTCTGGATGTTGGGGTCCCCCCTCCCAGGTGAGTGCTCTAAGCACAAGTATACTCATTGGCTACGTCTACACTGGCATGATTTTCCGGAAATGCTTTTAACAGAAAAGTTTTCCGTTAAAAGCATTTTCAGAAAAGCGCGTCTAGATTGGCAGGACGCTTTTCCGCAAAAGCACTTTTTGCGGAAAAGCATCCGTGGCCAATCTAGACGCGCTTTTCCGCAAAAAAGCCCGATTGCCATTTTCGTGATTGGGGCTTTTTTGCGGAAAACAAATCTCTGCTGTCTACACTGGCCCTTTTGCGCAAAAGTTTTTCGGAAAAAGACTTTTGCCCGAACGGGAGCAGCATAGTATTTCCGCAAAAGCACTGACAATCTTACATGAGATCGTCGGTGCTTTTGTGGAAATTCAAGCAGCCAGTGTAGACAGCTGGCAAGTTTTTCCGCAAAAGCAGATGATTTTGCGGAAAAACTTGCCAGTCTAGACACAGCCATTGTGTGTCTGGCCCAATGGCTGGTTAAGTATTTGCATACAATGAAAGAGCTTCAAAAAGAGAGATTGAGAGGGCCTGACACCAGAGATCCCCTAGCTCAGTGGCTAGAGAAGGCTCCTATCTGTTCAAAATCTCTCTCTTCCACAGGCAGAGAGAGAATTGAACCTGGGTTTCCCATAACCACATTCAGGGCTCTAACCAGTGTGCCCTTCTCCACCCAGATTTTAAATAGGCTCTGTCTACCAGATTGGGCCCTACAAATGAGAG